ACCAGTGCGCCCCTTGGGTTGGCACCCCTGCGTGGCCGGGTTTGAGGGGCCCCTGTCTGGATGCCTCACAGCATCGTCCCTGCAATGGGTCCTTCCTGGTATTGCCCTGGGGCAGGCTCCTGCCTGAGTACCCCCCAACCCTTCCCTGGCCTGGGAGCCTGCCGGTCACCCCCGGGGTGGGCAGGAGATGGGCATCGCTCTGGGGAGGCTGAGTAGGTCCCTGCAGGCAGGGCACCTCCAAGTCTTCTGATGGGCAAGGCTACCTGAGCCACCCCCCACGAGCCGGGCTGCCTATGGGGCAACAGTGGGGCGGTGTCTGCCCGCCCGCCTGCCTGGCTCTGGCAGCAGCCCCTGGGCTGCCTGCGTAGGTGGGAGCTGGCTGGGGAAGGGAGCAAGTCTGCATCTGCACATTGGAGGCAGCTGCTGGAAGGCCCCAGGTTCTCCTGATGTTCATTTTTTGTAATCTGTGTGAAAGACGTTTTCATGCAGTAATATGCCTGGGCACTCAGACCTTGGATTCCCACTACACTGAATTGGTAATGGGAAGAGATTGGCAGATGTCCCAAAGAGAGCAGTACTACCTCCATTTTACCCATCAGGACCTGCTTATCCATGTCCCAGAGATTGTCCTGAGCAGGAGTGCCCACCCCTATCGCTTTAGCAGAGCCTGGTGGGGAGTTGGGAGGCTGGCCTGTCTTCCAAAGCCCGTAGGGGTGACATGGCTGGTTTTCCCTTGCTGCTTCCCTCTGAAGTTTGGTGATCCGGCTCTTTGAACATCGCACTTTGTAGAACAGACGAGCTGCCTCCTGGAGCTTTTGTGGTCTTCTGAAGAGTAGTGGAGAGCAGTGGAGCATGATGACCACGTAGTTGTTTGTTACCAATGCCTGTCAATGTGTCTCGCTGCAGTGACGCTGTACGGCGTGTTCACCAACCACTACTCTGCCAATGGCCCGTCTCGCTGCCTGCTCCTGGAGCTGCTGGACATCAGCGTGTCAGAGCTGCTGCTGCACTCCAGCAACCAGGGCTGCTCCATGTGGATGATCCAGCACTGCGCCCGAGATGTTCTTGAAGCCCTGGCCTTCCTGCACCACAAAGGCTACGTGCACGCAGACCTCAAGCCACGCAACATCCTGTGGAGCGCAGAGGAGGAGTGCTTTAAACTCATTGACTTTGGACTTAGCTTCAAAGAGGGGAATCAGGTTTGGAATGCGCTGCTCTGGAAGCAGTAGTTGGCTCTGTGTTGAGTTGCGTGAGTCTGTGACGATTTCAGCTTGTCTGTACAGAAGTTGATGTGACCTGATCAGAGTAGTAGTTGAGCTAGTGCTGAGGGGTTCCAGAAAAAGCCTGAAATGTTGTCTGGCCCCAGAAACAGAAGCTTATGTTCTCATTCTCCTGGCATATCTCTGGTTTCTGTTGATGTCTTGGCCTTTGTGCTACACAATACGATGAATTTAAAAGTTAATCATGTACTCAAAAAGTGGTGTCTCAGCTTCCTGGGAAGTTTGCTTGGTTTTATGTGGTCAGATGAGTGGGAGCACACAGATCTGAAGAATTTCCTTTTATCATCCCATGTCATATGTAGCAGTAGTCCAGGCTTCACCATCAGTCAGTTGCATTATCTCCGGCAGCGTCCTTGCGCTTCTCTTTACTTTTAGCCTGTCTTAAGCAGCTTCCCCTTTTCCAGGAAATCTGGATGTTCCTTTTCCATGTCATTGTGTTGACAAAAGCCCACACTCTGGCTGTGGGCAGGCAGTGTCCATCCTTTACTGATGTGGACAGGTCTCTGCCTGTTCTTTACTTTTCCCATTTGTTCAGCTGTCACTCCCTCTTCATACTGTCACTTTTTTTGTTTTGGTGATGCTGGGTTCTGTCATTCTGTCATTTTGTCCTTGCCCTTTTTATTCTCTTCCTTGGCTTCTGATGAAAGCAGAGAGCCTCAGGAGGTTCTCCTGTTGGCTTGCTAGAGCTTCCTTTCACCCCTCCATCTCTCAGTAACTGCCTCTGAGGGGTATCAGTAGAAGATTTTTCATCAGGTAGCCTTGTAGTAAATTTGCCTTTAATCATGGGGTGACGGGCTGTAAGTCTGGTGAACAAGCCGTGATTCTTTTGTGCAGCCATTGACCTGGCTTGTCCCTGCTCCATGCACTCTACTCATTTAGAGGTTTTAAATTCACATACTTTTTTTACTGCTTTATCTGCTGTTGACAGTGCAGCCCACTGATCTGTGACTGCCAGAGGGTTGTGTGGATGATCAGCCTCTGAATCCTTTGGTACAGGAGCTGGTTTCAGTGTTTGTATTCTGACTCCTTTATGTTGTCTTCAGTTTTCCCATGTTCTTGACTGAACACTGGTTTATGCTGGTATCCGTTTTCTGTCGGCAAACAACATTCTCCTGGTGTCCTGTTTCTAATGCAGATTTTTTTGGTTGGTTGGTTTGTTTTGTTTTTTTCTTCAGGTCAATCTTTTGCTGCTTATTCTTTGAGTTGTTTCATAATAGTTGATCAGGTGTTTTATTTGCTTCTGTGGTTCCTTCCAGTCTTCTTCCTTTCCCTGTTCTCAAAAATATGCTGGCTATACAGGTGAACCTTCTGACCCTGCTTTGAATGTGTATCAGGTATCAGCTTCCCCTCACCACCCCTGCCTTGGGCAGCAGCATATGTGCATTATCTCCTCATCTGAGTCAAGACTACACTAGTTTTATTTGTGGAAACTCTGCTGAGCTTATCCTTGCATAACTTTTCCTGCCATTACTGTTTAACAGAGGATGGCTGTACATAAAGCAAGGTCTCAGCCACTTATCTCTCAAAATGCTTTAGATGGTAGGAGTGAAGTTCCATCTTGTAATTTTTGCTGATGGCATTGACTATGGTGTTTATCTCTAAATGTTTAGTAGAGCTGCGAAACTGCTACTTTTGCCAGGTTAGAGGTTCTGCTCTTTGCTGATAGGAGGAGGAGTGCCGATAAGCAATTTGTGTATCCATTTTTTTTTAAGCTTATAAAACAGTTTTGAGCTCTGTTGCCTGAAAATGTCTTCTGTAAACTTGATTTTCAGTAAGAGAACCAGATAATTTTGTTTTTAATGTATTCCCCTGGTAAGAATTTCCAATCCTTCACCATATCCAGGAAGCAGGTTTGCATATTATTCTGTCATTCCTTGATTTGCATCGGTGTGTCTAAAGCGAGCCCTCTTGTGTTAAGACGACACAGTGTGCCCTTTGTCTTTGGACACTTGGAAGACTTGGCTAGGCAAAGCCACAGCTGAGCGGTGGGGTATTGGCTGCGAGCAGGAGGCTGGAGTGGAGACCTTCAGAGCGGCCTCTCCAGCCAGCACTCGTGTGATTCTGTAATTTCCTGGTTTCTTTTAAGCAGGCAGCATGTGGGCATTTTGTTTTCCTCTGCCCGCCACGGCAGCTGGGCAGGTATTGATTGCTGCAGCACTCCTGGCTGCGAGGGGGAGAAGGAAGAGGTGCGTGGGAAGCGCCTTTGATAATTTCCTTGTCTGGGCATTAGGTGTCTGCTTTGTTCTTTTAACATTTTGTTCCGGAGAACCTCAGTGCTTGAATCGCGGCAGCTGTTACTGATCCTCACTGCTCAGAGCGGGCTGGTTTTGCTCTCATGCAGCTGACGTGGGAGCATGTTGTGGGTGTTCAACCCTTACCCTGAAACTTCTAGCATCTGCTGCGCTTATGAGAGGTTAATGGGCAAGTCCACAGTGACATCCAGCCTCTTCCTCCCCGCAGTGCTGTCTTTCAGAGAGACCAGGTGTTAGTGGGATCTCTGCTGCTTTGCTGGGAGATGTTTTCTCTTCCAGACAGTCTTGATTTTTCCTCATCAACACAGCAGTATAGAGAGTTGAACTGCCTGCCTGACACAACTGGTTGTACAATGCTTTGTGTCAATTTAGCAATAGTATTGTGGTTACCCATTTGTAAGGGCCTCTGTGAACTGATTTAAGGATAGTGTGGAGAACCTCAGCCTGGAAAATTAACTTTTTGTATGTCTTTGATCTTCTGTAGGATGTGAAATATATTCAAACAGACGGGTATCGGGCTCCAGAGGCAGAACTGCAGAACTGCCTGGCACAGGCAGGGCTCCAGAGTGAGACGGAGTGTACCTCTGCTGTGGATCTGTGGAGTCTGGGAATTGTTTTACTGGAAATGTTCTCAGGAATGAAACTGAAACATACAGTCCAATCTCAGGAATGGAAGGTGAGTGAGAGCTGCTGCAGGCATTTTTGCTTGCACCAAACAAGTCCTCCTGCTTCTGGTTCGTAACCTGGACTTGTGAGGTAGTACCTGGCAACTAGAGAGTGTTTCCAGGATGTTTCTCTAATCCTATTGCCTTGGGGATTAAGGTTTTAGAGTCTTAAAAACCCACCTGTCCTTTGGGACTGGCGTGCCTGAATGCTGCCTGTGTTCAGGTTACTGAAAGCTGAGGGTTCCATGAGTCTGTGTTTGGGGCCTGTGTCTTGCCAAGATTTGGGAGGTGAGTTGCGCAGGCACAGAAGGAATAACAAAATGGATGGCTGATGGCTGCCAGTTCAGCAGTGCAATGACAGAGGAAGTATTCGCTGGCTTTTGCAGAGGAAAGCTGTGTGTTGTGAGCCTGGAGCCTGACTCTGTTCTATGTGAAAGTTTTGTTTTGTGCTCCCCTTCCCAGTAAGAGTATCCTTTCAGCATCATAATGTCAACAGTAACAGCAAATTTGCCTGCTTGCTGGAAATTTCCAGCTTGCACACAGTTAAATGGAGAGAACTTCATCTGATGTGGGCCTGCTGACTTAACATGTGGGGCTGGAGCATTGGAGATCTCCCACAAAATGCCAAGTACCACCACCCTCTGCATCCAGTCCAGAAAAATGATGGGGTATTGCAAGCTCTGGAGTGGTCTGCCTTTTTTTTTTTTTTTTTCCCTAACTAAGCACTTTTTTTTTTCTTCCCAGGCAAACAGTTCTGCCATCATTGATCGCATATTTGCCAGTGAAGGGGTGGTTAATTCAGCCATTCCAGCTTATCACCTCAGAGACCTTATCAAAAGGTATCTTACCATATTTACTAACTGCTGCTTAGAGATGTGCTCTGCAGTCTTAAGCCTTGCTTTTGGTAACTTAGAGACCACACCTAACGCTTGTGGGTTTGGTTTTTGGTTTTGTGGGGTTTATTTAAATCTCCCTGCTGCTGTGCTGGCAAAAAGTGAAAGCGTTAGCAGAAATGCTTCAGCTCCTTTTGATTCTGGTGCGATTTGGGGTAAGCACATTAAAAAGTCATGATGTTCATCATTTTCTGTTTCAATGCTTTGTACTTCCTGCCAATGAGGTTATATTTGGGGAAAACTGGAGCCTTTGTTGCTTTAGGGGAGTATTGTCAGGAACAAGGGAGGGAGGCAGATAGACAGTGCTGTCAGGATTCAAATGCATTTATCCAGCTCTCTACTGAGAGGTCTGCAGAGGAGAGGTGGAGCTGGAGTGTGCCATGTTCCATGTGCACTTGTGAGTGAGCAACTTTGATGTCAGCAATCATTTGATGCTGAGAAGCATCAAGAAGGAAAGCCAACTGTACCATGTACCCAAAATGCTTTCAGGGCATCCTTCTGGTGCAATTCAGCTGTGAATTGGAAGATGTGTTTCTCACTCTTCCCTTTGTACCATAAGCACCCTGAGGACGGGTTATTCCTCTGTACTGGCTTCCAGCCTGAGTTGAATTTATCGACGAGGAATGTCACATGCGAGAGCATAAGTGTGTCTTCTCTTCCAGCATGCTTCATTGTGACCAAGGAAAGCGAGCCTCTGCCGAGAAGGCTTTATGCAGCCCGTTCTTCAGCATTCCCTTTGGTGAGCTGTGCACGTAAGCAGTGTTGCTCGAGGCTTCCTCAGCATGTCCTGGAAGCGGCACAGGGCGCAGTTAAACTGCCTCGCTTCTGGTTGTGGCCTTATTGCTGCTCCTTTGCTCTCTGTGGCACCGCAGCAGGCAGGCTGGAGCGGTGCCTGTGCTCGCAGTGCTGCCCTGCCCTCAGGCCCTGTGGGCTGGTGCTTTTCCCTGGTTGGACTCCTATTCCATTCTGCCCAGATCAAACTGACCGAGAGCGTATTGGCAGCAACATTCATCTGAGGGCACAGAAATAACCAAGCTACCTACTTAATATTGTGACCATTAAGGTGCTTTTGAAGAGTGCCGTGCTATTTATGGTGACTTTGGTTTTTCTTATGTCAGGAGTTTCCCAGTTCAGAAGCCAGGACTGTGAGTGACATAGGCAGTGGCTGGTGGTGGCATCTGCTGCTGCCTCCTCTGCACAGGTTGAATAGCCTCAGTGTGTTCTCATGGTGGGAGCCTGTTTTTGCAGTACTTGGCCTGCCTCTTCTGGTGCTTGTGTGGCAGGTAACGGCCACATGTCACTGTCCCTTTCATCTGACCTTTTTCTCAATTTAAGGAAGTGGTGGTGTTTTCTCAGGACCCCCACCACCTGGGTTGCAGGCTGTCAGCAAAAGAGGGGCTGAGACCATCCTGTTTAGACTAGTATCTCTCCCTGTTTTCTGTTCCAAAAGCAACACAGTAGCATTCTCCAGAGCTTGTCTACTTTCAAGATCACCTGTGAAGAGCACTGCATCTAGCTTTTCTGCAGCATAAACCAATGCTTCAGGCATCTAGCTTCTGGCTGGACTAGCATTTTCTCTTGAATATTAGCCCTGCTTTTCTTAAGCTGCTTGGTGTACCTTCTAGTGAAGGTTGTTAAGTATTGCCTTTTGAGATCATGTTGAGGTCCTGGTGTTCCTGTGTATTAGGCAAAGATAACAAACTTGTTCCTGTTTTCAGATTTCTCTTGCATCTAAGAAACTGGGACTGTTGTAATCAAAGCCACCTTCCATGGCTGAACCTTGCAGCCAGTATTGCTTTAGAGCAGAGGGAATAGTATATTGGCAGTGCTTTCTGGTCTAGTTTTAGACACACAGACCTCTGACTGTACCCAGGAAGGTGCTTCTGTGGTTAATGCTACAAGTTTATATAAGAGCTTCAATTTTTCTTAGTTTTCTTTGCTGGTTCTGCCCTTTGCCACACTTGTACATAAGCTTGTCTGCACAAAGAAGCATTTACAGTTGATTTTCTAGAAAGTCAGAAAATGATCTGTTGTTGCCTTTCACTTGGACACTTATTTTTTTGTTTAGAGCAAAGACAGCTGAGAATGTCCTTCCTTGTCATTTACAGCCAAGTCTTGACTTTCCAGTTCATCAGCTTCTTTCCCAAGCTGCTTGCAAGCTCTCTGATGTCAGTGTGGTTGGTATCATTTGGCACTTTGAAGAGGAGCAGAGGGGCTGGGCAGAAAGTACCTCCTAGGGCAGAAGGGCATTGCAAGAAATGCATTTGTCACTTGGTTACAAGAAGACCAGATAGCTCTGAGTCCTAGGGTTAGCTTGTCTCCCTCTGAAAAAAGACACATGAAATGAAGGACAGACTTACTTGAATAAAAGAGGCAGCATGCAAGACCAAGGTGACACTTAAAAGGTTCTTTCAGTACCTGGTTCATCTGATGTCTCCTTGTTGCCAGCAGTCCTGTGTAAGAACAGTCTCAGAGGTTTGTGTGGAGCTGGTTATCTGAATGCAGCACCTTTCTTTGAAGGGCTGTCCCTGAGCACTGTGGGCATTGTCTAGACTGATAAGGCCTTTCATCCTCTAAGCTTTTCATAAGGACTCTTCCATGTCAGACAGGAGTAGATTTATAGCATGCATGCTTGCCTATCATCTCCTCTTGCTCAATCAACACCTTTTGTCTGTGCCTGGCAGAGATGTCAGCTCCCTCATACATACTGTTTGCTTACCTTGGAAAAGTATTTCCAAGGAAATAAAAGCCTGCTATCTTTGCAAATGTAGTGAGAATGCTCAGACTGAAGAACTGGAGCTATTTCCTCCCTCACTGTCAAGCAGAAGAACTGTGAGGTACTGCTATTATGTTTGCCTACTGTAGCTGCCAACACAAATGAAAACATTACACTCTCCAAGTACAGCAAGTTGGGCTCCCAGATCTTAAGTTCATGACTGCCCTGCCAGTCCCTTTCAGGAACATGAAATCAAGCTTTTGTTTCTAGAGAAGTGACACTGTCCCTGCTGCTTTGAGTCTTTAGAGGACTGGTGTCCTCTTGGATGTGGCTCTTGTAGTTTGGCATTAGTCTGTCCACCTTGGCTGTTTACTTCTTCCACAGCAGGAACTATGCTCCACTGTTCCAGGCCATCCTGGTGCTGCCTAGTTTCTAGAGCCAAGTACCCCATGGCAGAGGGCTTTATTTCTGCTCCTGTAAAGTTGTTCACAGGATCACTGCTCACCCACCTTGTGTCCACCCTCGTGTGGCTGTGCTTTATTCTATAGCACAGCATTGTTGAAGTAACTTGTTTTCACCAATTCTCGTGTAAGATTGTGTGATGGTCTTCAAAACAGCAGGTTGGAGTTGGGTTTTGAAAGCAGGGAGGTTTCCATGGTGCTTAGGAGAGAAATGAAAGATATCTTAGAGAGGGCTCAAGCTTGTGCCTTGGTGTAGCGTAAGAACTGGAGTTACAGAAGCTGGCTGGCCTGTTTTCAGCTTCTCTGGTAGCAGTAACAGGAGAGGCAGGTTACAGAGTAGTTCTTTCATCTTGCATCTCCATATATATGAAGCAGTTTGCTCAACTAGCATAGCTCTTGAGGTCACATCAATTCCCAAATCTGAGCTAGGTAGACATAGTTCTAGTCTTAATTTCTGCTAGCTATGTAATTTTAAAAGCAATTTCAGATGCTGGCCTCAGTACAATTGCAGAGAGCACTGAACCCTTTGGAAGAGTCTCTCAGTGCACAGGTGAAGGTAAGCTGGAAACAGGGAGGATATGGGGTGTAAGTGCAGGTAATAGTGGAGAAAAGCACACCTGCTGCAAAGAGCAGTAAGTGCTTGTGTATGATGATACATATTGAGTCAAGTTCCTGTTTTCTTGCTCCTTTTGACTTTAATTTCTTTTCTCTAATTCTGTGGTTGTCAAACAGCTCCCCATATTGAAGATCTGGTGATGCTCCCCACGCCTGTGCTGAGGCTGCTGAATGTTCTAAGCGATGCTTCTCTGCAGTGCGAAGAAGAGTATGAAGGTTGGTGCAAGTTGTGCAATGTCACCTTAGAGACTCTCTTTTGTTTGGCTTGGAGGAGGATGCAAGAGCAAGCAGAAGAGCAATGAAAGGTGCAGGAACAGTGAACAAAATGCTGCCCAGCTGATACTTGGTAAAAAGTGGATCATCTGCACTGACAGACAATACTCTAAGAATGAAACAGAAAACAGAGCTTGTAGTGGGTTCTTGAAGGATCCTAGATTTACTTTTAAGTTTATTTTGATTTTCTTCTTTGGCCAAATGTCCACAAATCTTAGTGTGTTTGGGGCACTGTGCTTTTGCTGGACAAATGCAGGACTCTGGAGCCCAGTAGGAGAGATTCTTAAAAGTTAGATAATGAACTTATCAGAGATCTCAGAAGAGAACTGAAATATCTCATTGTGGTACTTGAACTGTAGCAAAAACTATACATGGTAGGTGGCAAGGCATGTCAGTGGAATTTGCATATCTGCTTGCTCTCAAGTCCATGTGAGTGTCAAAAGCTAGAGAGTGCTGGGGATAGGATTTCAAAGGCTGGGTTCTGCTCACACAAAGAAGGGTTTGTGACAGCTACTTCAGTTCCTCTCCTCCAAGTGCCATAGGAAAAAAAAAAAGCACTCACAAATCCAAAATTTAAGCTAGGCTTTGTGTGCAAGGAAAGGCAGAGTCCATATGCTCTGAACCCTGCTGTTGGGGATTCACTGCCTGCAGGTCTGTGTTCCTGAGCCTCAGTTCAGACACTGTCTTGTTGTGCAGCCATAAGCAGTGTCAGCTTCTGCCGTGGCCCCTCTCGATGATTTTAAACCGAGAGGAAGAAGCTGCATGGTGACTGAGTGTCCTCAATGTGTTCATCTGGCCTTCATCTGTGTCTTGGCTCATCCTAGCTGGCAAAGTGAAAGACAACCAGCTCTTCTTTCTCAGATATCCTGGAAGACATAAGGGAGGAGTGTCAGAAATACGGACCGGTAGTTTCTTTGCTGATTCCAAAGGAGAATCCTGGTAAAGGCCAAGTAAGTGAATGGTGGGAAGAGGCTGCATATTCCCACGTACCCTCTGTGTGCTGCAGGACTGCTGCTCAGCTCCTGGAAATCTCCTGATGACAGTGCTAAAAATACCTGGCTGTCTTGAAGGACAGCGCAGGTTTCCTCCTGGTTATGTAACGTTGCCTAACCTGAGAGCTGCCCAAACAGCTTTAGCATGGGAGCTGGGATATGGGAGGGAAGGGGAGAAGTCGGTGGGAGAGGAAGCATTGAGGATGTAGAGCATCATCATGCTTTCTCCCATCTTAACAAAACACAGTCACCTTGGAAATGAGGAGCAAGAGATAAAACTCCAGCTCAGAGCTGCAGCTCCTTCCTTTTTAGCTCCACTGCTCTGGGCTCAGCCAAGGATGGAGGGTAAAATGTCCAGTTTCCCCAGCTGCAGGAGTGGGAAGGGGTGAGTGGCATGCTGCACTGAAGTCCTGTTTCTCCTCTTTCTCTTTCAGGTCTTTGTTGAATATGCAAATGCTGGTGATTCCAAAGCTGCCCAAAAAATGCTGACTGGAAAGATTTTTGATGGCAAGTTTGTGGTGGCTACGTTTTACCCACTGAGTGCCTATAAGAGAGGATATCTGTACCAAAACTTGCTGTAGGCAGTAGCAACAATCAGGAGAGTTGTCTTGCTCCTCTTCCTCACATGTTTTACAGTTGAATGTAGAAAGGAGCTTCCTAGCCCTGGTTTTGAGTGATCTGTGAAGGAGAGATGCAAAGGACTTAAGTGGGCTTCGAACCCTTTCCTGCTGCTTTGTGATGTGCCGAGGAGGCTGGGATGGCTTCAGCGTGTGCTTGTGCCTGTGTTGTGCTTGCTCGTGTACTCTGGGTGTGTGGCTTTGCCCCAGCGGGCGCTCGGGCACCGGCACTGGTGACTCTGGGAGCCTGGGAGGCCAAGCAGATCTTGCCAAGTGCTTTTAAATTATTTCAAGTGAGACCATTTCAAGTCTTGACCTTGGCACTTGACTTTGCTCTAGGGAGAGGATTTCTTTGCTAAGCTTTCCTATACTGCTCTTCTCCAGTGCTGGGGAAGAGGAGGAAGGCTTCCTTGCTTTTCTTTGATAGCTATAATAAATAAAAAACAGAAGCACCATCTTCTCTAAACCACACCAGGAGGACTTTTGAGTCTTCACATCACGTAGAGCAGAGGGAGGCAGTGAAATCAGATCTGCTGAGCCTGTGGCATTACCCTGTCACCGCCTTGTGACCCCAGAAGGGCCATCTGTCTGACCTGGCAGGATGGCATGCTGGGCAGCAAGGTGTGGGTGACGTTGCCTGCGGTGAGCTGAACTTGCTTGTGTGCCTGGGGTGGATGGCATAGGGACCGATGGTGGCTGCATGTTGCCAGAGCAGTGCCAGCCTCAGTCCCACCACAACCTGTAAGCACCTTGTAGCCTGAGGTGATATGAAAGCCCTGTTGTGTGGGATCATCTTTCTAGCGTGTATCCTGTGCTGGCACTGATGCTCCCTAGCTCTGATGCCAAATCACGTGTAAAATGTAAGCATCTTTAGCTGGTGTTTTTGGAAAGGAGTGCTACAGCACGCAGTATTCTTTGTGTCTCAGCAGGACTTCTGCTCTGTGAGTCTCATAAGAAAGAACAAATATTTGTGTGTCGTAGGTCCCATGCTTGGCTTTTCTGTGCTGTGCGTTTTGGTTTTGCATTAACCCATTAGACTTGTAGATGAGATGCACTGACACTTTTAGTCCTTCATGGGTTACACGAAGGGCTTGAAGCAGTCTGAGATTCCATATGGAAAGGGCTCTGTCAGTCATCAGACTTGACTGGTCAGGAGAAAGTCTTTCTCAGTGTCAGGGACAACAGCCACATGCTTTAGGGGGAAAAAAGCCAGGGCAGGCAGCATCACTGCTCTCCCCAGGGGCATGCTCGTGTGGCTGCAGCACAGTGGCAGAAGCTTGCACAGCTGCCAGCACGGGGTAGGTGGTGACTGTTTCCTAGGGATCTGCAAACCCCTAGACCCAGGGGAGCCTCTCCCTGCAGGGGTGGCCACTTTGCTCCTGGAGAGCACAACGTGAAACTCCCCAGTTTAGAAGCGGACCAGCATATTCTGGCTTGTGGCCTTGGTACCAGTTTTAGTGGGGAGCACAGCCCTCATGAATTCTTTCCTCCAGCTGAAACAACTTGCAGGCAGCTGCCTGAACTGTCTCTGGCATCCCCTGGAATAATACCTGATTTACCTTGCAGTTTACTTGTGGCATCTTGCTGATGCTGGACTTGCTGGAATCCTGCACTTAAATTCCTCTTGATTGTTTCCCTCCCCTCTCCCCCCCGCCCCGGTGTGCAGCGTGTCAAGAGATACAATGTCTGTGGCATGTCATGAGTCTTGAGTTCCTCTCTGTGCTGATGTAAAGTCTTGTCTGGTGTGGCCCTTCCCAAACTCCCCCAGAAAGGACCACTCTGAATTTTTCTGTTGCCTTTGAGGTGGTAGATTTTCCAGGGGGGATGGTTGGGGAAATCCTATAATGAGTTTTAAGGTGTGATTTGCCAATCCAACTTTTTCTGGGAATGATGCTGCTTTGGTGTACATGACTGTAAAGCAGCTTTGCATAGATGGGGCATGCAATTAATTGCTTTTAATTTAACTGTCTTTGCAGTGAAGCAGCTGTAGTGTCTAGGAGGAGTTGGGTGATTAACAGGGTGAGGAGTTTTCCTGTGTGAAGAGCAGTATTTAAAGTATTCTAAGTATTGGCAGGTATTGACTGACCTTCTCAGCTCTGAGTTGTTGCTGTCCCTGGGAGGCTGAGCCAGAGGTGAAAGGACTTTGGCCCAGAAACTCATGTTTTAATTGCCATCATGTCAGTAGTATTAAGCTGGCTGCATGTGTGCCTGTCAGCTGGCAGCAGCAGACCCAAGAGCTCCTGCTTTGGATTTGCAAAGGTAAAGAGCTGTGCCACAGTTAATCTTTTAGAGAGGAGCTACAACCTGTTCCTGCAGCATGGTAGAACTGTTCCACCAGAGTTTGTCTGATATTTTGTTCAGCTCCTTTAATAGGAGCTAAATACATCTTCAAGATGCAAACTGCTGCTGCCAGATTTCCTCTCCAGACACTCACTGACCAGGCTTGAGCACTGAGCTGGGCAAAAGCCCCAAAGTTGCTGCTTTTTTTTTTGTTTTCCTCCCTGACAGAGTTGAAGGTGCTTATCTCTGACCTGTCACTGGATCCAGCCACCTGGCTTCCCTCTGCAGGGTACAGGGAGGTTTAGGAGCTCCTCAGAGCAGAAGCAATTTCTCATTATCCCTCATCCTCTGCCTTCAAAGCCTTTTTTCTGTCAAGCTGAAGCTCGCTCTGGTGTCTCAGTGATCTGTTGGTGGCTTGGCATAAGTTTCAGCCCTGCTAAAAACCCGTGAGTTTCTTAACTCTAGATTGTATCTGAAGTGTGTCTGGTGTTTGAATCGAAGGCACCTGTTGTGGTGTGGGCCTGGATGTGCCTGGCTTCCTTCAGCTCCATCTGCCTGCTCGAGCTTCAGAAGTGTTGAAGCTTTCCACTTAGATGCTCGCTGGGTTTCTTGGTCTGTGCTGTTGACACAGCTCCTTCCCGACAGCCCTTGGCGTAGCACCGACCTACATAGTCCCAGCTAGGCAACAGCTAAATGTGAAAACCTGCAGGCTGCCTTTGAGGGAGAGAGCTGCTTTGAGGGGAAAGGGATGAAAGGTGAAGCCTCTGGAGACAGCCAGGGAGGGCTGGTGCTGCACTGGTGGGATGCCAGGGCAGGCACCTGGCATTTGCCCCTGGGACGAGTCAGTCCGAGGGGCTGCATCCCCTTGGAGTGTGTGTGTGAAGAGGAAGCACGTTGGCGTGGAGCTGTCCCTTCATGGTGGCTGGGTTTTGTAGCCAGTCTGACATGCAGCGTCACTGCCAATCCAAGAATGTCCTCCTTCCTCTGCCAGCGACGTCTCTGTGGGAGCAACGAGGGAGACAGTTCTCTGCACTTCCACCTATTTATTGCATATGGGGAGGGTAACTGGCTTTTACAGCACTGGCCGAAGCACGAGTCACATCTTAGCTGTGTTCCTAACTGTATTCTCACGGGTCTCCGGCGCCCTGACAGCATTGTAGCCTGCGCCCCGCATCGCACCCGAGTTGTCTTTGCAGAGGGGTCAGTTCACTTCCCCCGCTGGGCCGGGTCCCGTACCGCGTGCCTCCCGTTGGGCTAGGTGTCAGCTGTCCTGCCCCGTCACGCACCGTTGCTGAGCAGATGTGTGCTTCATACAGGTGATTAATAAACGATGCTTCAGAATGAAGCGGTTGTCCGGCCCGCTTTTCTCGTGGGACCTCCAGTGAAAAGCCACGTAGCCAGGTGAGCTCTGCCACCCTGCACCTTCTGAGGGCTGCGACCCAGCCAGGGCAGCCCTGGCACCCTCTCCTTGGCACCCGGGGGCGCGGGGATTCGGTCGCCCAGCACGCCGCGGGCGTGGC